TCTCCATGAAAGGATTAAAGGAAAGAGCTTCCAGGCAGAAAGAATAACTAGGATAAAGCTTTCGTGGGGAGAATGGGCTGAAACAAGGCAGCTTAAAAAAGGCTGGCCCAAGAAGAGGCTAGAAAGTTAGGCAGGGAATTTGATCATTTAGGGCTTGTTTGTTCTCCTAAACAAGCAAGAATTCCAACTGAAATCAGGTCATAAGCTATATTCCCTTTCAAGATCTTCCCGACAGCTTTAGGGAATGGGCTTCAGCTATAGGATGAAAGGAGGGGAAGCAGGGGGAGCAGTCAGGATGTTCTGTACACTGCAGGAGTGAGATGCTGGAAGTTTGGACGTAGGACGGTGGAGGAGATAAGAAGCAGCAGCAAAATCACTTCATGCTACGGAGGGGTAATTCACAGGGTTCACTGTGGGCTGGACATGAAGTGTGGAAAAAAGTGAGAAGTCAAGAATAATTCAAACTTGGAGCTTCCGGGAGAACATGGTGGACAGATAACAGCAACTACGGAGGCTCTCTGAAAGACTCAGCTCAGAAGTCAGGAAGGGTGCGGAGTAAGGCGACATAAGCCAGTGGAGATATGCTCTGCTGACTCAGGAACGAACTGGGCTGAGAGAAACCAACTTGGAATGCAGTCCTGGTGCTAGAACAGGAACAGAAAAGCCTCAGTGTGGAGGCTGGAGCTCGCGCCATTGGAAGCCACGATTTGGGTTCCGCCGAGCGGCGGCTGCCTCTACATCAGCTTGGCAAGGAGAGAGACACGCGGAAGCTCTGAGAACGGGAATCTGCGAACGGAGTCGAAAACAGGACGGGCAGGGAGGCGTGCACTGACTTGTGGTGAGGTGAGTGAGAGAAACTGACACTCTACCACAGTTTGACTCCAGCGGAGGACATTCTGGGTCCGGGCAGTCCTGCTGGAGCAGGGCACGGTGGCGACTTCAGCCACACATCCCCCTCTCAGGCGGGATTGGTGGAAAGTGCCTAGCCTACATGACACTGCTGGCGGACCCAGTAGACTAGCCCAACCCAGATCCCAGAGCCTGACAATGGCCTGGAGGGGCAGGCCCGGTGTAGGCTGCCTGGTCTGGAACTTCCTGGTGTGCTGCAGTGGGCGGGAACACCTAACTGGCGCAATTCGATCAGGCTGTGGCTGACAGGGAGGGAAACTGGGCCTCCTATATAAGCTTGCATATATAAGGAACAGAGAATATGGGAAGAGGCAGCAACAAGAAAGGCTCCTCGGCCCCCAATTCTGAGAAACAGGTAATAGCGGACACCGCACCAATAGACATAAACCGCCATGTAGAGAGCCTCATAGATCAGTTCAGGAATGAAGTTATCAATGACCTGAAGCTAGAAGTATGCAGAATAGTTAGAGAAATGCTAAGCACCACCCAAGAAAAAACAGATGGTGGAATGGAAGAACAGAAAAAGAGGGGAGAATTGCTTGATGGAGAAAACAGAGAAAGCATAGAATACGTGAAGAAGGTTCAAAGGGACTATCAAGAAACTAAAAAGTCTATCGAAAACTGGCATAACAGCTTGAAAGAAACTAAGGACAGACTATCTGAACTGGAGGGCAGATTTGTAATATGGGAGAAAGAAATGAAAAACTTCTTAAAAATAACAAAGAAACAAACAGCAATAATACAAAGACAAGAAGATGATAAGAGGATCCATAACTTAAGAATTAAGAACATAAAGGAAGAAGTAGGGACACAAACAAATGAACTACAAAAGCTACTCACAGAAATAATCCAGGAGAATTTTCCTAATTTAGCAAAAGGTAAAGATACTCAGATGTATGAGGCATACAGGACCCCAGCTACCTACAACACAAACAGAGCAACACCCAGGCATATAATAATAAAAATTCTAGAAATTCAATACAAGAACAGAATATTAAAAGCTGTCAGAGACAAGTAACAGACCACTTACAAGGGAACACCCATCAGAATTACAGCAGATTTCTCTGCACAAACCATCAAATCACGAAGAGCGTGGGGGGAAATAATTCAAGCTTTGAAAGATAATAATCTCCAGCCAAGATTGAGATATCCTGCACAACTGTCCCTGGAAATTGATGGAAAAACAAGGTGCTTCCAGGATAAAGAGGAACTGGGGGAATTTGCAACCACCAATTCAACTCTACAGAGAGGATTGCAGGATATTCTAAAAAAAGAAAAATACAAAGAATCCAGAAATAGTGGTGGGGAGGCCACAACGAATGGAGCAGAGAACAAAATGAAGAAGACAAACTGACAGCTACTGACAGAAAAAGAGCTCAACGGAAATGAGGCAGAGAAGATTGGATGATAGGAACAGCTATTTTGGAGAAAATGACATCTTAATAGGTAATACTGATTTAGTATCATCTTGTTTTGAAGTCTCATCAAGCTTTTGTTCTTCTGTCTCCATTGGTCTAAATAGGTTGTATCTTATTGGATTTTATTATGTATGATAGTATAAGCAAAAACCTTTTAAAGACAAGGAGATTATACAGAAACCATTGTTCATTTTCTGTTAGTCGATTCTAAATACCCTGTAATGCTGTCATTCTCTTAAATGGTTTTACATTGTTTTGATATATTTAATGCTACAGTATACGAAGTTCTACTCAAGGATTTCAAGGAAAGAGACAATATGGTAACTACTTTTATGTCAGGATTATCTGGAGGTGAAACACTGTTCTGCTTAAATGGTTATGTTTTGATCTGTGCTGTTTTGCTGTTATGCCCTCTTTTATCTCAATCTCCACTCCATTATTTACTTTTTTATTTTTATCCTTTTAATTAAGGGAAAAATAAATAAAAATAGCAGGATATATTATAGTAACCCACTTTGACTTTCCATTATCTCGATTTAAAGCCCTGTATTACTCTCACCATCTTGTTTTTGACTGATGTTCCCCTATTCTGTTTTGCTGGATAGTATCAGGTTCGAAAGTTTAGGCAACAGCTGTGAAGATAATGAGATTCATTATGACGCCCATTCTCGTTGACTTTTATCTACTTTTGAAGACCTACAATGTCTCCAATGTTTTGGTTTTGTCGGTTTTGTTCTTTACTGTTTTGTTCAATTTTATTATAACTAATGATATAGGCAATTCTATTAGAGATAGTGGGAGGCATTATGGTAACCATTGTTGATCACCTTGTATTATGTTTTACATTATCTATTATGTCCACCCTTTTGATTTGACCGACTCTGTTCTGTTATGTCACATTTGGTTTTACTCTCTTCCAAAAAACTAATAAGAACCATGGGAGCAATAAAACCCAAAATGTGTAATAGTCATTGTACAAAAGAGAGGAAAAGAAAGTGCTCTAAACGATATAACTGCGTGTATATTTAAGTGTATAAGATAGAAAATGATATCACTGAGTTTTATTGGATCATTGAACAGAACTGTTTGCAGTATCATTGTTGGAATGTCCACTTTACAAGCTTTAATTTTGTGACTTGAACAATTATGTCTAAGATGACAATATGTAATCCATTAACTAGTGATTTCCTACTGTTTATTTTTTTTCTGTAAATCTGTATAACTTGTACCCTTTCTCTGCTTTTTTTTCTCCTTAAATAAAATAAATTAAAAAAAGAATAATTCAAATCTGCTGCAGCTATTTTTTCTCCAGTACCTGTAATGTTTCTCTATTTGAATTCCAAATGTAGTACTTGTCTTCCAATTGGACATCATGTTGTAGGAAAATAATATGCATATTTAAACACTAGAATCGTTTTCAGTCTGCCAAGATCCTCACACTGTAAAGAGCATAGTAGGGTATATACCTGTTTAGTGGAATAGCCAAGATCTCATGGTAACCATGGTAAAGGAGTTTAAGTTATTCTCAATCTTCTCCTCTTTCTCTCAGACTGATTTCAGATTAAATGTGCCTATACAGTGAACCAATAATAATGAGGACCATATATTATATTAGATCCCTTTTTTGGTACCAGAGATCAAACTCATGACCTCATGCTTGCCAGGCAGGTGCCTGTGTTGCTGAGCTAAACCCCCAGCCCTAGATCATGTTTTGATTAGAACTTTGTATTGTGTTAACTCTGAAAAATGTGCTGTTTGTCTCATGTGTAGAGTAACAACACCCTGCTCCTCTGAGGCTTTTTAAGGTTTCATACAGTGATGGCTCATTCAGATGATCCAACAAAAATTTCTTCCTCTCACTCATTAAAGAATGCTTTAATACTTTCTAAAAATTAATTCATTCAACAGCTATTGCTTTGGTGGCATATACCTGTAATCCCAGCACTTGGAGGATGAGGCAGGAGGATTGCTACAAGTTTGAGGTCAGCCTGCACTACATAGTGAGACTCTGTCTCAATACAAAAACAAAAAACAAAAACAACACAACTCCTGCTTCTCCCGTGACGTGCCTCCTCACCATTCCCACAGACCAAACTGATCAAAGCATTAAACCTCTACCACTGTAGCCCAAAAGAAATCTTTTCTCTTGTTATGGTCATTATCTTAGGGTTTTGGTATAGTTATGGAAAACTGACTAACACACAATCTTCAAAATTATATTGAATCCACAGTGTAATCCTGTCATCATATTATTTGAGACATTTAATTTTTCCTTTTCCAGATCCTTTTCATTCATTTTTCAAGTGAGGTAGTGTAAGTCATAGGTTCCAAGGATCAAAATGTGGACATTTCTGATGGTGGTGGTGAAAGCATTATTGTGTCTACCACAGCAACTGTCCATCCAAGAGGAATCTGCTCCCCAATAACTCAGAGCTCACATCTGTCCCCGTTCATGCTAAGCCAGTACATTAGTTTCCCATAAGTTATCACAGAGATACTTGTAGTGGTGACTTATCCATGGCAAACCCATTGCCAGACAGAGTTCTGGGTTCTGGGTCCTGACTTGGGGTTAGAAACTTTAGCACCTGAATCCAAGCTGCACTGCTTATTAGGCCCATCAGAGGGCCCAGATGTAACTGTCAATCTCAGTAGTCCCTGGAGCTCTACGGAGACTACATGGGGTTAAGCTCAGGACCTCAGAGGGTGAGGCGTTTCTGAGTAGCCAACAGGGTCTTTTCACAGTCTTGTTCAGAAGATCCGAAGTTAAAAGCTCCGTCTCCAGTTCCTTAGATCTCTGGAGCCAGTGGACCCTGAGCCAGAACTGTGACTGTCTGACAGCCTTGAGCCACACTGAGACAAGACAGAGCTGCTCTCCAGTTCCTGGGAAGCCTGGATTTTCTCTGCCGGCAGCCAGCGGGGACTGGCCTATCGTGCCACATCTGTGGGCAAAGGGCCTGGAGAAATGCTGGCATGTTTTATGCGTGTGCAAACTGACTTTATTTTAGGAATGAAAAAAATACTTCCTTGGGTACCTTTAGGTAAGCATACCCATGTAATATGTTATTCAGGCAAAAGTCTCTGCGCCTTTTCCTTATATAATCAAATTAAATACAGTTTAATACTGAAACTGGGAAAGAAGTAACTAGCTGGAAAACTCTTTGGCCAGCTCTCAACTTTGGGATGAACTTTTAAAAAAATAAAAATAACCCAATACTTAGTCTTTTCTTTCACATAGTAATCTTTAGTTCCCTCACTGAACTGTAGCCTTTCTAAGATTATAAGTATGCTTTCTTTGAGGAATTCTAGTTCTTAGCCCCCACTTCCAATGTATTTATTGGCGGGCTTTTAAAAAAGCTGGTTGACTCATGTGTGTGTGTGTGTGTGTGTGTGTGTGTGTGTGTGTGTGTGTCTGTGTGTGTGTGTGTGTGTGTGTGTGTGTGTCTGTGTGTCTGTGTGTGTGTGTCTGTGTGTCTGTGTGTCTGTGTGTGTGTGTGTGTGATGGATCGAGGCTGTGGGGCACAGCTCCTGGCTTCACTGGACTTGTGGATGAGAAGTAGAGACCGAAGTGATTTGCAGTCACGGGGGTGTACACTGCTCATGCTGGAGCCCTGGATATTTTGCTGCTTAAAGGAAACCCCATGAAAGAGGTCAGTAACTGGGAGAGCAGAAAAGCCTGTGCCTGCTAGGAAAAAACAGTGAAAGAACTCTTTGGGCCTGGTGGAGAAGCCTTGAGCTGGGTTGCTCAGTGAGGAGGCTCAGCAGTGTGGCCTAGAAGAGAGACCAGCTCCTGGGGTCAGAAGTCTGAGTTCCGCATCTGCTCCGAGCAGCGTGCAGCAGGGCACAAGTCACAGTGTCCTCCGGACCCCAGCTGTTTCCTAGAAGTGAGGGATGCAGATGGTGAGGCAGGCCCATGTGCCCCTCTGCTCTTTGGCCATGCTCATAATAGAGCAGAGACAGACTCACTGCCTCAAAGAAACACCACCATCCAGCTGGTGAGAAATAAAACTGTTCTAACCTGGCAAATGCTGTGATTGGCTCATGCTATCTATGCGTTAAACAGAGAACAATTTACAAAGAATAAAAAAAACACATGGGATAGCTATCCGAATGTAACGCAATTTTCTTTTGATTCACGAGCATTTTGAGGTCTCATAGCTGCTTTGATTTATGCATTTTATGAATGGAGGCGCAGCAGCAAGCTATTCTAATACCGAGCCCAGGTGAAGAAAGCAAATGGAAGCGGCATTTGCAAGCCAGGTCAGGCTCCTCTGCTCAGGCCCCTCTGCCCAGGCCCCTCTGCCCAGGCCCCTCTGCCCAGGCCCCTCTGCCCAGGCCCCCCGCTCAGGCCCCTCTACCCAGGCCCCTCTGCCCAGGCCCCTCTGCCCAGGCCCCCCTGCCCAGGCCCCCCTGCCCAGGCCCCCCTGCCCAGGCCCCCCTGCCCAGGCCCCTCTGCCCAGGCCCCTCTGCCCAGGCCCCTCTGCTCAGGCCCCTCTGCTCAGGCCTCTCTGCCCAGGCCCCTCTGCTCAGGCCCCTCTGCCCAGGCCCCTCTGCCCAGGCCCCTCTGCTCAGGCCCCCCTGCTCAGGCCCCTCTACCCAGGCCCCTCTGCCCAGGCCCCTCTGCCCAGGCCCCTCTGCTCAGGCCCCTCTGCTCAGGCCCTCTCTGTGGCTTGCTGCTACTCACAACTTTCCCACAAGCAAATGTTACGCCCCGTCTCACCCTGGCACTGCTGTGAGCGACGGAGACAGAGTAGTGGGTGAGCAGCCAACAACTCTGCTTTCAGGGAGCTCCCCTCTTTGTCGGGAAATAAATAAACAAGATTATTCAGGTGGACACACCTGATTCATAACAAATCATAGCAAAGGTATCCAAGATGGTGGGGCGGATGGATGACGGGACAGGTGGGAGTTGTTTTTGTTTTGAAATCAAGTGGCATCATGCATCCTAAATAAACACTCTACCAATGAACCACACCCCAGCCTCTACTTTTTAATGTCAGTTTGTATAATGTCCTTGCATGCAATGCTATTTTATTTCCATTTTGTTTCAGTGCTGGATACTGAGCGTAGACTTTGTGCATGAGAGGAGGATGCTTTCGCACTGAGGCACATCATCATCTTGCAGGGTTGATACTGTGGAAGGGAAGGCCAGAAGCTTCCCTGAGGAGAAGCTCTTCAGCTGTGTTCCCTGGTGAGTCATAGACTAACTCAGAATATACTGGAGCAAACATAGAACTACCCAGCATTGGTCAGAAATGAGAAACGTGCTCTAATCTATCATGGGTTGTAATTTTTCAAGATAGCGTTTGAGTAGAAACCTGAATGATGTAAGAAGCCAAACACATGGGTATCTGGGGAAGAGTTTTCCAGGCAGTGGGGATAGCAAGTGAATGACTCAAAGGTGAGAAACAAAAAGACAGTCTGGCATGCATCAATTTTGATAACAAGAAAGTAGCGTTCAATATGGTCAGAAATGTTAATAGAGTCTAGAATTGTAGAGTCCCACAAGCTATAGTAAGGAGACTGATTTTCATTTCGTGTACAGTAGGAAGGTGTCAGAGGGCACCGCACAGAGGGTGGTCATGGGATGTAATTTGTTCCTTAGACATTGCTCTGGCTGTTTGTGTAGAGAATGTTGTGCAGGGGACAGGGTGGAATAGGGACAGCAGTTAAGATGCTGGCAGGTGGAGATGATGCATGGACAGGAGGCACAAGAGGAGGTGGAGACAAACAGAAAGAATTGAAATACAATGTAGAATTTCAGGCTACAGGACCTACTTATGGAACCTGAAGGATAAGGAGAAATCGAGGAATCCAGCAGCTTTAAAAACTAGGGGACAAACAGGTGCTTAGGAGGGAATAATTGCAGGTTTAGATAGTTCAGCCTTCTGTGATTTAGTCTAATATTTTCCCTTATTTGTCTGAATTAAATAAGATTCTGTCTGTCATGCTCTGAAAAATCAAGTTCCCACTATGATGCTTGGACAAGTAACTGGTTGTTCTTTCATAGTGAGAGTGATATAATATACTAGACAGTGCCTCAATTTCTCCTTTTAAAATGGCTCTCCTGGTCTCTGGCTGTTTCCCAGGTTTTGTTTTCATTTGTAGAAAACTACAAGTCACCCGCCTCCTAGACTGGCAGTCATCCGCCTCACTTGGCAGTGAGACCAAGACTCAGCAAGGTGTAAAGGCAATGGGTCATGGTCCCTAACAGGGGATGTTCAGAAACTGAGTGAGTGGTCAGCATTTGGATTTCTTTCTGTTTATGTTGGGGCAAATAGTGGGCAATTGAAGAAAAGACTACATGAGATGAGATATTAGTCTGAGAAATGTGGAGAGGAGAGAGCCAGTGGCTGGTTGTCTATCAAAAGAGAGAGGAGGGAATCAGAATTGCCCAACCATCTGGTGAAAAGAACCCAGAGGAGGGGCTCAGAGAACAAAGCTGGTCAATCTATTTATTCCACGATCAGAGATCTGGAGTGAGGATGAGATCTGCCTTGAGTCCAGGGAAGATACAGTTTGTAATTGCAAAGAGATGTAGCTTTCCAGTTAAGGGGAGAGAAGAAGAATTGGAAAGGGTGAAGAGAAGCTATCAAGGGCTAAACCAAGAGGGTGTAGTATGATTTGGATCTGGTATGTCCCCCTAAAGGGCTATATGTTAAAGGCTTGATCCCTGTATCCTGATGCTATTAGTAGGTGATGGAACTTTAAGAGATGGCCCTAGTGGGAGGTTTTTAGGTCATTGATAAGGGGGTGTGGGATCCTGGATTCTTCCTCTTTCTCCCTTTCTTCCAAAGATATGCTGCAGATCCTGGCCTTGATAAGATGCTCCATCATAAACCTAAAAGCAATATATCTGCCTAACCATAAACCAATACTTCCAAAACAGTAAACTAAAATAAATATTTCCTTCTTTCAATTTGCTTGTCTCAATTGTTTTGTTACAGTAAAGGTAAGCTAACACAAAATATAAGCAAAAACACTCTCTAAACATCACATATCTGGATATTCAAAAATATAATCAGCATTCCTTATCTTTAGATTCTGTGTCTGTATCCAACCAATTACAGAATGAAAATAAAGTTTTGCCTGTATTAAATAATACATTTTCCTATAGTTATCCCCCATGTACAGCAATAACAACTATTTGCATAGGATTTATAGGATATTAGGAGTTATAGTTATCTAGGGATGATTTAAAGTACATGAAAGTTGCATAAGTTGTGTACAAATACTACACCATTTCATACAAAAACCTAGCACATACGCAGGTGTTGGTTTCCATAGTAGTCTTAGAAGCAATCCCTTTTCAGTACCGTGGGGATGTCTCTCCCTTGCTTTAGAGGAAAAGGAATGTGACTCCATTAGTCATTACACAGCACGCGGGAAACCAAACAGCAGCACGATGTCTGGTTCTGTCTCTTGAAAGCACTGCTAAGTCATTCGCCATGCCTGAGACATAGGCAGATGGTGAGCGCCCTCAAAACACCACTGTGAATATCTGGGAGCTTTATAGATTAACTGCATTAGCATTAGAAAAATGCTATTTGAAAAAATTCCACATTAGAAAATTCCAGTGCCTGACCTCTACCACTCTCCCCTTCAGCTGTGCCGTATCTCTCCTGAGGAAACAAACTTCAAAATTATTTGAAAAAGAGATAGGCAGAATTATCAATCCATTAAAAGAAACAACCCTATTCTAATTAACAGCTGTTCATGGGAAAATTGCTCACTGCTGTAGGGCTAGATAAATGTCAACCCAAAGCTAGAGAAATCCAGCCAGCCACACATTCTGGTTCAATTATTTTGTCCTCACTCAGCCAAGTAATTGATGTCTGATCACTTGGCCTGATGGGTGTAGATGGAGGAGGAGTGATTCCTCCTCAGGTTGGACCTGCATCATGAGCAGTGTCTGGACTGTGGCTCAGGGAACAAAAGAGTTTACTGGGCAAGCTCACAGGGGATGGTCCCCATGGGACCAGACCCCAGCTTGCCCTGGTCACAAGTCAGCTTTCCTGAGGAAAACATATACCCACAAGCAGCCTCTTCAACTTAGTCAAACTCTCTAGTTCCCTACCCAAAACCTAAGAAGCAACTTTGTGCTTGGCAAAAATGATGTGGTGCTTTCCTCCATCCTATTAGCAGAAATAGCTGTAATCATTGCTTTAAAAGCCTATCTTTAGGTGATCGATTGTTTCATCTTATTTTGTTTCGTGACCTGGATAGCTAAATGGTTATTTAATGAAGGACTTTTAAGCACTGTTACTTTATATTCAAGCAGCAGGGAGCAGTCTCCTTCAGATGTCCATCTGCACCATGAAGTGCAGAGAATTTCTAAACAGCCATTGGAATGATTAGGGAGTCTAATCATAGTCCAGGCATGTAGAATTTCAACACCCACCTGAACAAAGAAGTGGATGCAGCTTATTATCATCACACATATGAATAAATACTAACTGTTCCTATCTGCCTCTGTTAAAGATTGCTGCTTAGCATAAATAAAAATCTGAGGCTTTCATGTATCGAGTATTTTCATGGACCCTTATTGGACAGCTGACAGCTGCTGGCTGGGCACTGTCTTGCTCTAATGATAATTCAGCAGACAAGTTTCTCCACAACAGCCAGGTCAGCGAATTGTTTTCTTCCTGAGAACAGATAATACAGTACAGTGGTCAGTAGGACTCATGCTGGCAGAATGGAAAATACACTCACAGTGTTTTGCAATTGAAAGAGACTTTTGATGACACACTATTCTAATCTGAAGGGGTTAAGACCATTGCTCTGGATCATGCACTTAGTTAGGGACAGACCCAAAAAAATGAAACTAGGTTTTCAAGACTTACAACTTGGGCTCATTTTAGGTTATTAAGTTGCCTCTTAAGGGAAAATTTGAATCACTTATTAAAGAAATTCAACAGGAGAATTTAATGTACTTTACACTAGAGGTGGGCAGCTCTCAAGCCTAAGGTATGATTTTCTCGGTAGGGAGCAGATAGCAGGTTTGGCAAATCTGACAGATGAGGTAGAAATAGCTCTAGAATATCCTGGTGAGTGTGGGAGGCCCAGGAAGTATTACTGGTGCGTGGCCCACAGACTTCAGGAGGTTCAGCAAGGAGACACTGGCGGGGAACACTGGCAGAAGAAAGCCATTCTTTTTATCAGGGCAAATCCAGAAAAGTGAATTCTGTAAACACAGCCAACACCTAGTGCATGTCTACTGTGAGGAATGCATGGTGTCTTTTTATGACTGCGAAAGGAGATGTGAGTAGACAGAAGAACCGGGACTGTGCTTAGAATGGGCCACCCGTGTGAATTCTGTTAGGTGCACTGGTGACTTTGAAGAAAGGGACAGGGAGGACAACACATCTGCTCTCTTTTGTGTTCAATTGTAAGTGGCTCAGGGGAAGGAACATGTCACTTACCCCTTAGAATTCCCAACATGTCCACAAAAGTATTCAGGCACATAGTAAATACTTCCTGAGAAGTAAACTGATGAATTGGCGAAAGAATTATTGGTAATATGGTACTTTTTGTACCCCTTGGGGGAATTACATTGGGTTGGATGATTTTTACATTTAACTAAGAGTCTTATCCTATAAACAGGAAATCGTCTTTATTTTTAACTGCTATACGAACATATCAGTCATGTTCCTCTCTCTTTTTTAACATATTTTGCTGACATAATTTTGACTTCCTTGAGGAGAACCACTGAAGATGTCACTCTTCGTAATTTGTGACTTTGGAGCTTTTGACTTGCCCTGCCCCTGGACTGCTTTTTAAATTTCTGTGCTCCTTTCGTGTCCTTCCCTACCTGAGCTGTCACCATAAGTGTGAACTAGATGAGTGCTAGGTGCCTGGAAACTAACATGAACAGTATTAGTTTAGTCTGTCTCCTTATATGGCTTCCAGTCAGACCAGGAACGCAAACAAACCGTGCAAATTATTACAATCTGAGGCCAGTTTTTGAAGTACACTACAAGATAAGGAACAGTATTGGTGGAGGGGAGCAGAGGTGGCCTGGCTGGGGAGGGACAATTAAGCTACATGCTGGAGGAGGAGAGAGGGCCGAGGGAGGAGCGCAATGCTTGCTCATTCAGCATTCACTCCCACTTTCCTCCCATTTTCGCTTCCTTCCCCCTGCTTCTGTCATTCATCATAATCAAGTAAGGACTAAATACTGCCAGAAAACAG